GCCATCCGCATCTTGTCTGACCGAAACGGCGACTCACTGCCTTGGTTCTGGCAAGAACATTTTCTGCAAAACTTCTTGAGGAGAGTCGCTTACCTCCAAACCCAAGCAGGGAACCCAGTAGTTGTGGGCTCAAATCCAGTCCAGATTTTGTATCTGTGATTCCCTCCCTCCCTCCCTAGCCCTTGCAACACCTGCTGCAGAGGCTGGAAGCCAAGAGCTATTGTGCAGGACCCTGAACTCTGGCCCCCCGCCCCCTCCGCCTCCACCCCAAACCCGGCACATTTCATGGAGATGCGCTGCTGGCTGGCACTGAGCCACGGAGCTTCCAACTCCACTGGGGAACAGAATTCCCAGCCAGGTCCCGCCTTTGGGTTTTCACCCTCTTCTCTCCCTCCGCGGCCCTTCAAATTAGGAAGTTTAAGTGTGATTTTGCATTTCTATTGAGCTGGTATTCAATGGCCAGGATGTATCTGAATAGGGGTGTGAGGCTAGTTAGAATGAGATGCAGACTTCTTAAAATCATGAATTAATGAGGCCAGAAGGGTCCTCCCAAAGGTTCAGAGTTCATAATAATTATTTTGATTTGTATAGCCTATTCTGGGCTTCCTTATTTCCAAAGCATTTATTATTTCATTTAATCCTCACAGTGTACCTGCGAGGTAGGCATTAGCCCTATTCAGCGCTGGGGAAGTGGAGGCCCAGAGTTGTCAGTGACCATCCAGGGTCACACAGCAGCTCACTGGAGTGCAGATGCACACCCTCCACCCGCCCCCCCAACAGTGCACTACCATCTGCACGCTGGTGGCAGGATGCACTGAGGAGGTTCTGGGCAAACCTAGAGAATTCTACAGCTTCCCTGGTGAGTTCTTCTGGTACCACCACCCTTCCCAGTGTTGACAAGGTGCAGACGCGGGAGCAGGCGGGAGGGCAGAATTTAGAAGTGAAACGAGAGGCAAAGGCACGACCCTGGGAAAGAAGGACCCCTGCCCGCCCGTGGCCTCTCTTCCTGCTCTCCAACCTAGATGAGAATTATTGGAAATTCCCCTTGCCCTGGAAACCACGGTCACATCCTCATCAACAGTCCCAGGAAAGCACCTGGTCATCTGCATTCCAGGCCTGTTTTCAGAACGATCCCCAACTTACATATTGTGCAGGGCACACCAGCCACAGTGAGGGTCCCCCGAGCTCAGACATTCCCCACAGGTCGTGTACTGCTCACAGGATTCCACGGGGACCCTGGTGATCTGGCAGAGAGATGAAAGAGAGCACAGTTAGATCAGGGAGTGATGACTGGCTGATGTGTGTTCACACTCACCTACACCTACCTGCAGTTACCCTGTCACCGCCCCTAAAGAGGTGACACTGGGCGGGGGGGGCGGGCAGGAGTCAATGGCCTCTCTCACTTGTTTGCCTGGTGCAATGGGGGTACAGCTAAGGGAATGTGTTTCTGGGGTGGCTGGCCCAAGGCTGCTTCTTGCCTTCACCAGGGGCAGAAGCAAATCTTCCTGTCTCTATCTGCCCACCACTCAAGTCCTTTTGAGAGCTTGCCATGTTCGTGAAAATGGTTAACTCCGTTGAAAGCCTATTGAGTGCCACCAACTTGTCTCTGAAGGGCTTTCAGCTGGGCTTGGGCTGAGACATCCTGCCCACACAGAAAACATTTAAAAAGGGAGAGAAGGAGAAACTATTCCTATCCAATAATATTCATCGTATGGCACAGTCTCTTTACATCCAACCAAACATACCACCTGGATCCAATTATCCCATTCTCTGATGTCTGCATTCAATTTTTTCTAGTAAATCTAACATCCTTTGAAAAGTCTGGCTAAATGGGAACATCCACAGAGATGAGCTGCCTGTCTGAGTCCGTCTTGCTGGGGAAAGTGGGAATTTACAGATCAAGTCCCTGCCCCCCACCCCAAGGATGCAGCCCCAGCGAACTCCTGCCAGTTGCCCCGTGGGGCCCTGCAGGGCCTTGAGATGGGCCTGTTTGGACCCGACACCACCACCTGTCCACGTGTGACGTTCAGGCCAGGTAAGGGGGTCAGAAGATTGAAGTCTTCCATTTGCGATACTAGGTACTGCTGCGGGTTGGAGCCGGAGGCTGCTGGGCTGCAAAACTATTTGCTGGGCTGGGGCTGGGCTCTCCTTTGTCAGGGCAGAGAGGTCCCCCACCCACCGGATGTGTGATCGCAAGTGCAAACCCACAACCCGGGGTCCAGCCACATGGTGTCCTGCCTCCGGGCAGAGCAACAAAGGATCTGCCCGAGACACTTTCACAGCATCCTCCTGAGAGGCTTCGGAGTTTAACATGCTTATCTAGCAAATCTTTATCAGATGTCACCACAGCGAGGCTCCAGTGCTATGTGAGAGGGAAATACCAGCCATCAGGACACAGAGCCTGCCCCGCAGAGCTCAGAGTCCAGGGGGAGTTGGTAACTGCAATGCTGGAGCTCCTCGCCTGGGACAGGCGTGAACTTGGAGGAGGGGTGCCCAGGACAAGCTGTCGGGGAAGTGGCCGCTGGACGCTGGAGAAAGCGTGAATCAGGGCAGGAGAGAGCTGCTGCAGAGACACGGAAGGGCACGGCATGCTCAGTGATTATCACAAGCCAAAGTCATCATGGACAAGTTCAGCAGAACTCAAGGGTGTAGCCTGGCTGGGGCGGGGTGAGATGTCAGGGCACGTACTCCCGGGCCAGACGATGAAAGGTCTCGTGCACCAGCTCCGGGAGGCTCCCTTTCTTTGTTGGGTGCTCCTCGTTCTTACCGCATCCTAACACCTAATATTCGTATCACAAGGCTTTCCTATAAGTGGGTGGACATGATCAGCTTTAAACAGCCCTAACCTCCTTTTAATAACAAAAATAGGAAACGCAGGAAGGATAATAGTCAAATCTTGCAATTCAGTTGAAGAAACTGGTACTGTGAGTGGAGGCTGGTCTGAAATAGCTCCTATATACTAGACCTGAGGGTGTGAGTCCCGTATGGCCTGGCCGGCTGATATAATGGCTCAAGGGGCTAATTTGCTCCTGGGCTGCATAAACAGACAGGGTGTCAGGGTTGGAGAGAGGGCACCCCACACTGGGGAGTGCCCAAGAGCGGTGTTATTCAACCAGAGGTCCTTCCCAGAAGAGTGGTCAGGAGGGCTGGGATCCAGATGCAGCATCTGAGGTGTTGGACCTGGGATGTTTATTTAGATCCAAATTATTAGATCCAAATTATTAGATCCAAATTATTAGATCCAAAAAGATGGGGTTTCTAATGTTTGAAGGGCAGCAATGTGGCCACAACAGGACTCATGGGTGAAAAGTTTCAGGAAAGCCCAAACTAGGAAGGTCAAAGTTGTCCAATAACATTCAGCCCTCGCTTCTGCAAGGAACTCCCATCACTGGGATTCGAAAGCAGAGTCAACGTGACAGGTGTCTGGAAGGCTGTGAGAGGGATTTCTGTCCTCAGAGGGAGGCCGCATTTGTCCTTCACATTCTGACCTTTGGGAATCTATTTCCCACAGTTTACCTAACTCCTCCTTGAGACTGTTCACGATTTCTGCCCTGAACAATTTGGTACAGTTAAAAGAGACCATCCAGGGGCACCAGGGTGGCTCAGTTGGTTAAGTGTCCGACTCTTGATTCTGGCCCAGGTCATGATCTCAGGGTCCCGAGATCGAGCCCTGCATCAGGCTCTGCGATGGGCATGGAGCCTGCTTGAGATTCCCTCCCTCTCCCTCTGCCCCTCCCCCACCATGCACACACACACAAACATACACACACACACACTCTCTCTCTCAAATAAATAAATAAATCTTTAAAATACATACATACATACATACATAAATAAAAGCGACCACCCAGCCATTGCCACTGGCCACCGGCATCATTACATCGCCTTAAGAAGTAACCCTTGACCTCTGACTCATGGCCTGTGATCCCTCCAAGCAGCATCTTTCTGAAAGCCTGCCTCTCCGGGGCCTGGAACTCTCAGCCCTCCAGGATCTCTGTGACCCCACGGCCCGGGGAGCTTCCGCCGGCCCCCTCCAACCCGCCCTCTGAGGCCTGAGCGCCACTGCAGCCCAGGGCCCAGCCTTCTTTTCTTGGGTTTCGAGCTCCATGTGAGTGATGTCTGCATCTGGCTGGAAATTAAAACAACTGTCTGCATTGCATTCGGCCTGTCTGTCAAAACACAGCCCGGCTCTCAGCAGCTGGGGAAGACGGCCCTGAATGGGAGCAGTGTCTCCAGCAACAAAGCCCACTTTCACGCCAAGTGCCACGGAGATAGTGAGAACCCTGTTCTTCTCCAAACATGAAACCAATAGCACAACTATTTTTCCTGTTTCCTGGGCCCTCCTGGTGGGAATTTCTCTCTCTCTCTCTCTCTCTTTTTTTTTTAAGGCACTGAGTTGAAGAGCAAAGTGAAACAGGAAACTTCTGGGGTGGGGGTGGTTCTAAAACCTGAATGATTCTCTCCTCCGAGATCTACTAGCCAGGCACAAACCAGAGGCAAGAAATGTCACCCGGACTGGGAGGAGACCCTCCACGTCAGATGTTTCTGTGGGTTCTCTGTCTTTTCTATATTCCTGTGTTTCCATAGTCATTCATCAGCCCAGATTCATTGATCACATCCTACATATAGAGAGGGGCTAGTGCTAGGCACTTCAGGGGAATGAAAGCAACTGCACATTAAAACATAGCCATCAACTTCAAGTTGCAAACAGACCCGCAGGGAAAAGACGAGAGAGTGATGTGTGCTCTAAGGCACCGCAAGAGAGCTGAGGGGATTCGGAGCAAAGAGAAGATACTTTTATGTCTGCTGTGTCCAAAGCGACAGCCACTAGCTCATGTGCTTATAAGCACCTGAAATGTGGCAGGTGCAAACTGAGTTGCGCTCTAAGGACACAAGACGCCCTGGGTTTTAAAGATTTTGTACGGAAAAAAAAATGTAAACGGTCATATTAATGCTTTTCTTATTGACAATGTTAAAAATGAATTTTTTTCAGATACTGGGTTAAATAAAATCTATTATTAATTCTACTTCTTCCCTCTGACTTCTAGTTTTCTAGCTGCCAGAAAAGTTGCAAGTATACAGGGAGCTTGCATTTGCAGCTTGCACTTTGTTTCTCTGGGCCAGTGCTGCTCTAGATGGGAGTCCCAAGCAGGTTCTGTGAGAAAACAAGGCAGGGGCCTGGGTCTTGAAGGGTGAATCATTGACATGGATGGAGAGCGCTCCAGGTGGAAAGAGTCACCGCACGAAGGGGAGAGCAGAGTTTCTTCAGCAAACCTTGCGTGAGAGCGAGGGAGCGGTGGGTATAAACCTGGAGAGACAGGTTTGGCTTAGGCTGGGAAGGACAGGGAAGACCACGGGACTGGGGACGTATGAAGTGGCTTTGCTCTCCAGACTGCCACTGCGTGGCCAGAAGAACGTCCTCCAGAAAGAGGGGGCCCAGGAGCTCTGAAGGAGCAACGGCTCTCCATGCATGGTCTGGACCCAGCACTGTTGGCATGACCTGTGAGCTTACGAGACAAGAAAACCCAGAGCCCACTGAGTCAGAAACTCTGGGATGGGGCCTGAGCGATAGTTCTAACAAGCTCTCCAGCTATTCTTAGGACTGAAAGATTGGGAACCACTGATGCAGATAACCTCACTCCTTGGGAGAGTCTTTTTAAATGTCAGGTCCCCAGGCCAGGAAGAAATGGAATAAAACTTGGCTTTGGGGCTATGGAAGGAACGAGACTGCTTTAGGGGAGCAGGAGAAGGGGGCATTCTGGGGACTGCTTTATGTCCAGGGAGAAATTGGCCCTGATAACTCTGAGTCTATGGAGGCCCTAACGGACCAAGTTCGAATCTCGGAAATCTGGAGGCTTCATCCGGCATCCCCAGTGACAGGCGGGCACCTGCTCTGGGACTGGGTGGGGTGGGGCAGGACGGGGTAGGGATGGGAGTGGTCTCAAGAAGCTCAAGAAGGAGCTCGAGCTTTCTCCTGCAGAGCATCCACTGAGTCAAGGCGGCACTTTGTCAGGGCTGACTCAGAGTTTAATGGGACATTCTGTGACGCTTTAATTAGTGTTTGTTTATTATGATTGCATTTTAATTATGCCTGAGGCTCCCCCACCCCCTTGGCTGAGTGCTGGGATCCAAGGGTAGCGAGGCTGGGAAATGAGCGTAGCAATGAGAAGCCTACCAGTCAGAGGACGCCCTTCCCCTGACCCCTCCACCGCCTTCTCCCCGGGACCATAGATTCCACCCTCACGCTCCACATTCTTTTCTGCTTGATCTTAGGTCTTGTAATTATACCTCTAATGAATATAACTGTCTTATTAAGTCATTTACTTAAGAAATGCTCTTAATTAAAGGTGACTCACACTGTGTTCTTGGCTCCTCTGGCCTTGGGGCCCTGCATCTCTAGTGGCTTCCTTGGCCTGATTCAGCAGGATTGGAGCTCTATGTGGGAAGGGATCGGGGGGCTGTGCAGAGTTTAGGGTGGTTCCCCTCACTCTCCCTCTTCTTAGCACAACACGTAGCCCACAGGGTGGGAGGCTCTGCACGGCCAGGGACATGACATCAGATTATTATTGGCTATGGCGGCAAGTCACTGAGGGAATGGCTGGGACCAGCCTCATTCCTCCAGATCTTGAAGAACATGGCAGACTGTTGGGGTTTGGACCACCTGCGGTAAGGCCAGGAAGGCCCCTGAGGCCCTGGACAGTGAGTACCTCAGGTACAAACACATCACCACTCTTCAGAGTCATCCAGTGGTAGGCAGAGGACCCAGAGCTCTTTGCCAAGTGGGCTTGGGCACAGAGAATCAATACCACGTCTCTGCCGCCCTGTGTGGACACCTGAAAGGAGCTACGTGGTTCTGAGAACCCAGATAGGTCTACTGGAGAAAAATCTGAGGTGAAGCAGCAGAACACATAGGCTTCTGACCATGGACTGTGCCTGGGTCCCCCACAGTCCTTAAACATTTACTGAGCATTTATGTTGTGCTACGCTCTGGGGCTATATTCTCTGCCTTCCTGGAGTTCTTGGTTTGTTTGAGGACAAAACCAAGGAAACAGATAATCTCAACACAATGGGATAGATGTCACAAAAGAGGTAGAATCAAGAGACAGTCATGGCTCAAAGGACGCAGAGCAGAGGTTCGCCTCGGGGGAGCATGGCGCTCAGTGGTCCCGAGGCTCTGCGGGATTCCCCTGCCATCGTGCAAGAGAGAGACGCAGAGACCAGGAAGCAATCAGGGAAAGCTGCTCTCCAGGCTGCCGGGGCCCCTCAGAGAATGAGCATTTAATGCCCTGCTTCCCTGGAATCTGCCGCCCCCCCGCCAGATGGTACACCTGTCCCCACACGTGTCCCCGGCCTCCTGACACAAGGAAAGAAACAGAGGCCTTCTCAGTGGCCAGGAGCCAGGTGGCACACACAGCCTGGCTGGGGGCAGGCAGTTGGTCCGATCAACAGCCTCCTGGTCCTCGGGGCCTGGGGCAAAGCACACAGCAGCTGAAGCCCAACTGTCTCCCCGAGCTTGCTCCTTCCCTTTGTACCTTCTTTAGGTGGTCCCACCAGCTGGCCCCTCTCCCCTTCCAGTGAGGAAGGTCTCAGACCCACTTTCTCCTTTTGCTCCAATTCAAGCCTGTTTTCCAGCAAAGTGCTGACGCTCTTGTTCATCCACGGTGGAGGGCAGGCTGAAGAGAGCCGCGGCCAGGCCTGGCACGCGGACAGCCATCCGTGGCACTGACACCACGTACCAGGGGAGAGTTTGAGCTTTTCCGAGTGCTTTCACACACTTTATCTCCTTTGACCTGCACAACTCCCCAGGGAGGAAGACAGGGCGGCCACTGTTAGGTATTATGATTTCCATTTGATCCACTAGGAAAGAGAGGTCCCCAAAGGGCTGGCTTAGCCCTGGCTCCATCTCAGAGTGAGCGGCAAAGTGGCTCCTCCATGGCCCATGCTGGTGACATACTGTAAAGGAGCTTCCGGAGGATGAGGACGGACAGGAGGTTCAGGGGACAGTTTCAGTAGACAAGGTTTGAGGTGAGCCCAGAGCCAGGTTCAGGAGGCAGGAAGGAATCTGAGGGCAGGTAAGCCTTTTGCTTCTCTATCCCCACAGTTCTGTGTAGCTTGCTGGCACCCAGTAGTTGTTCATGGGGCGATGGATAGGTGGGTGGAGTCTCTCTTCACAGGCTTTCCCCAAATCCCGTCAGCCCCGTGGTAATGGGTGCAATCAGCCTCGAGAGGCCCGAGGGCTTGGGGCTCTGTCCTTCCCTTCACACCTGATGTGGCCAGGGTTCAGAGTCCTCACCAGGAAAGGGACACAGGCAGCTGATCGGAGAGGCCTAGCCCAGTGCCCAGCCCAAGCCCCAGTGGACCCTCCAGGGACAGGACAGGCTGCACCAGCTCCTGACATGCTTCATGCTACATCGCCTATGGTTCAGCAAGTTTCCATGGGAAAAACCAGCTTCTCCCTCATGCCCTTTCGGGCAAAGAGCTAACTGTCTACTGGATGCCTGAAGCCGCATCTTCATCTAAACCTCTCTGCTGGGAGTGGGAGGGGCCAGAGGTATGGGGCAGCAATGAGATCCCCTCCGTGGATCTGCTCCCCAAGGACAGAGGGGTGAGGAGGCGACAGGGCCTGAGGTCTCCTGCTCCTGGCTGGCTCCACCTGGCTCTGGGCTGAGCAGTTGGCTGAGCTTGGGGAACAGCATGAGGCAGCAGGAATAATAATAATGATAGCTTTCTACCTACTGCATGCCAGGCACACGGTGTATATTATCTCATTTAATCCTGTGCCAACTTCGCAGGCACGGTATTCTTAGGCTCGCTTTACTTATTAGAAAACAGTCGCAGGTAGCATAACCCACCCAAGGTCACATGCCTGGCAGGTGTGGCAGGCACCGACCTGGAGTCCAGGTTTGTTTGGCTCCCGGGCTGAGGGGGTAAGGTGGAGACAGGCCACCCTGGAGACGGAAGGCCCCCCCCTTGAGGCTGCTGCAAGGGCTGGCTGCCGGGGCCGCCCTTCTTTCTCCTGGAAATCAGGCACGGGCTGCAGTGCCTAGGCACGCTCTCGGACACTGCAGTCACACACCTAGGATGGTTTGACTTCAGATTTTTCGGCTTTAAGATGGCGTGAAAGAGATACGCACGCAGCAGAAACCGTACTTTGAATTCTGAATCTGGATCCTCTCCCAGGCTAGCAGGACGTGGCGCTGGGTGGTGGTGGCAGTGACCACAGCCACGTGATCCCAGGGGTGAACCACCCGCAGACTTAACACCATTCTGTGCCCACACAACCATGCTGTTTTTCACTTTCGGTACAGTATTCAATCCATTATGTGAGCCAGGTGGCACTTTTTGATCAAATAGGCTTTGTGTTCGATGATTTTGGCCCAACTGTAGGCTGATGTTTAGTGTTTTGAGCATGTTTAAGGTAGGCTAGGCTCAACTATGATGTTCGGTAGGCCAGGTGTATGAAATGCATTCCAACTTACGATGGGTTTATGGGGACGTCACCCTATCCTAAGTCCAGGAAGATCTGTACTATCACCCATCTGACCGCTGCATGCCTCTTAGCTCATTTTACTCTCCTGTTCGCTAGCAACGATTCAGATGGTGAATCCAGAGTTAGACGCAACAAAAGGGGTGATGTCAGAGTGCCGAGAAGGAGAGAGGCTGGTGAAGGTGGAAGAGCCCCTGCTCGGTTCTTTTTCAAGCTGGCCAGGACCCAGACCAATAGCAGGAGAGGCTCTGAGCAGGTTGCACAGTTCCCATCCCGAGCCTCCCAGGAATGTCACAGAGCCCTCAGCACAGAGGTGGAAGGTGCTTTCTGTCCTGGTCTGGCCAGGAGTTAGCTGTGTGGCTTAGGGCAGCCCAGTTCACCTCTTAAGCCTCCAGTTTCTTACCTTTCTTGTGGACACAACAGTACCTGCTCATCAGGGAGCAGAGCATCCCTGAGCTCACATTTTCTGCTTCGGTCATTCCTATGAATCAACCTCCCAGTAATTAACGTGAAGAACTCACTATGGCTTGTTCCCAGCGTTAGATTCAGTTCTTCAAAAATCAATAGCCATCTGTGAGACCTCCTTAAATCCTCATAAAGTAAACACCGGCCCAGCCTCCTGCCTGTCCTCAGAGCTGTGAAAAGTCACATGATCAATATCATTAAGAAAAAGGAGGCACTGACCCCCAGAAAACCAGCTGGAGGTTCTGGAGTCTGTGACTGCAACCAAAGCAACATGCAACCTTCTGACCAGAAGCTGACCCTGGGGCTGCCTCCGAAGAACTCCTGACTATCTGGGGACCCAGGGCAGAGTGGAGTTCAAAGAGAAAATCTATTTTTAATGACTTGGGGGAGAAGAGTGGAGTAGCTGAGTAATTTGGAGTAATTAAAGCTATCTATCACTCAGAGAGTGGAATCCAAAGTTGGTTGAACTTTTCAATGACAGTTTTTCCTCCTCATTCATAAAACCCAGCTGAGGGTTATGCAGGAGTCAAAGGGCAGAGGGCGGTGGGAAGAGAAATTTCTGGCCCCGACCAGTGAAATTTATCCTTTTGATGAGCACTAGAGCAGTGGCCTCTCCTGGACCCCTTTTTTTCAGCGAGAGGCCATATTTTGTACTGAAGGTGAACGCTGAAGGGGACAGCTGATAAGCTGTATGGCATTAAGTTGTCAGCTCTCCCTACCTCAGTTTCCTTCTCTGTGAGATGGTGACGATAATGATGTCAACTTCACAAGGTTGTTTGGGGGCTTCACTGACAACTGCACACCAAGAGCCATGCACACAGTTGGTGCTCAATAGTGGTAGTTATTACCGTGCTCAGTCTTTATCTGCAGACCCCACTGGAGGTGGCAGTGTTTGCACGGGAAAGCTGCAAAGGGCCCTCACCCAGGCTCTGCACTCCTGTACTGAGTGACCTTGGGCAAGCCACCTAGGCTCTTTGGGCTGGGACTGCTAATCTGTCCTAGGAGGAGAAGTATGTCTGCCCTTTGCATGAAGAGTGGTACAGCCACTCCAACTATTGTCCTTCGCGATGACATAATCCCTCCTTGAGGCCAAAGTGCACTAAAACTCAAGATGCTCTGCTGAAAGAAGTCAAATCAAGCTTCGTCTCCTAAGGATTCAGGTAAAACTTGGGCAAAGGAAAAGCACAAAGAGGGTAGGAAACCGAATGGACAAAGTAGATATTCCAAGCACCATAACATATTTTCTTAGACAGGAGTTCTGGGCCAGAAATACAAGGGAGGTAGACATAGGGCCCTTTCTAGTTTTGTTTTATGGGAGGATCTATAAAGCAGCAGAGATGAGGATACTATGTTGTCTCCATGACAACTGTGGGTTTATTCAGTTAAGGAAAGCGGGTGGGATAGGAAATCAGGGATGAGAAATGGGGCCTAAGAAATAACTGAAACAGATCTCCCACCTGGGATCGAGATGTCTAGGACAAGCCAGGTCCCGTAAAGTTCCCTATAGGGTCAACATCAACTTGTCTACCTGAGGAGGGGAAAAGTGATGAGGGCAAGGGGATGGAGTAACATGGCAGGGATGACTCTTTACCCACCCATTCCCGTTCATTCACTCCAAACTTCTACTTGTTCAGGTGGTCCCACTGAGGCCCCTGGATGCCCAGGGCCCGAGTATAACCTTACCACATGGAGACTGATTTTATTTAAGAGCTGGGCCTCTGCCTTATAGGCCCTGGTTTCTGGGCTCCATCCCCTTAACTTCTGCTCCCCTTGCTTCCAGTTACCAGCAGAGCAAGACGAGAGGGAGTGGAGCATCAGTTAATCCCAAATTCTCTTTGAATCATCTATGGTGCATAAACTTGGGAAGGTGAGCTTTGTGGTGGGAATCATCAGGGCCCAAGAAGAGGCTGTCAGGATCTGGAATAAGAACACCTTCGCCGTTGTCTGAGTAGAAGGTGGGGCCTGCCTTTAGTGTGGTTTGGGATGAGGACTCAGGGAATCCTTGTATAAGAGGGGAAGGGGGGCCTCTAGGACATCCCTGCTCCTGAAGGGGACCCTAAGAATGAGCTCCTTTTGGCAGAGGCCCTGGCATTGCCTTCTAACCAAGCTCTAGTTTCTGCATTCTGGTGCCCAACTGCACTTCTGGCTCTGATGTTGGCACTCGTGGTTATTGACACAAGCTTGTAGGTTCTCAGGGGCTGTACGAATTGTGTACGAATTTCCCACTCTTGATATCTTCCCTGGCATCTGCTCCTGGGGTTACGAAGGGTCCCCATGTTGAAGTTCCCAGGTCACCTTGACATAAGGAGAGGAATCCTACTGAAGGGTATAAGGTTTGGCCAAGCCCAACCACACAAGCCCTCCTCCAGGACACCCTCATCAACAGCTACGCACATTAAGAAAGATCAGAGCCAGCTTCGCTCCATCCACAGGCACTAGATCTGAGATGGGCCTCCACCTCTCCACCTCAGGTGTTGTATAGATCTGAGCAGACAAGAAGCCATTGGAGCCTCATGTTGTAAAACAGAATTTGGGTTTCCAGTGGACCTCATGGAGGGCATCTTCTCAGCCATCTCTCTATTCTTCTAACCATCTGAGACTTGGCCATCTTGTCTTCCCTGACACATGAGATCTGAAAATGTTCTCTCTGACTTTTCGTCATATGCCAAGTGTCTGGTTCCCTTGGGAAGGACAGAAGAGTGTCTTGTCACTCACAGCTTCCTAGGACAAGTGAGTAGGTGAGTGGATGAGTGTGGGCGTGTGTGGAGAGAGAGAAAGAGACAGAGAGATAGAGATGGTGGATAATAGTACATGTTAAATCTCTGACTGAGGGAAAAAAAGAGTCTCCTACACTTACATTGAATTTTAAAGGTTTCCTTTCTGTATAGAGTTCACGTGTTCGTTCATGCAATCCTGGCAAGGTGGTGATGTGTGAGACAGGAAGGCTCCAAGCTTTGCTGGATCCTGAGCCGCCGTGCTGCTCTGGGCATCTGCATAGACTGGTCGGTTGGATAAAGACCATTCCCCTGGGGCAGCAACAACAACAGGGCCACAGTGCCCCGTACCCGGGGGTGAGTCAGGAGGGGTTGGCTGACCTTGGGAAGCTGCATTCATGAGTGGACCTGCATTCGGTTGTTTATAATTTGGTGCTTATAATTTGATTTTTATAATTGGTGCTTATATTTGTTCATGGGCTTATTGATTCATTCATTCATTTGTTAGTCCATCCTGGTATGAATCCTTCATTCATTCGTGTCTCCATATATCCACCAGACCAGGTATCAAGTCTCATACGGTGAAGTTACAAAGACAAGTTATCATGGTCTTATGCCGCCCTCAAGAAGCATACCCTCTGGGGGGTAACCTAGAAAGTCCAAGTGTCATTGGAGAGGTTCCTAGCTGAGAGTGATCATCTCTAGGGGCCGGGAAAGTGCCACCCTTTGTGGCCTGGAAACTTGGTGATATTTAGAGAGGCAGGAATAGAGAGAAGGGCATGAGCAGAGACCAAGCATGAGGAGGTGCAGAGAGGCTTCCAGGAATGAGCACTGTTGGAGCAGGGAACTGGTAGGAAAGGTGAACTGAGGGGACATCGTGGAAGGCCAAGGTGGTGGAAACAGAGCAGAAAGGAGGAAAAGGAGAAGTTCTGCATTTCTTCTTTCACCACGTGTCCCCCACCTGTCCCTGTCAGAGCATCCCTGGTGCCCCCTCCGCCTGCCCCCCGCTCCAGGCCAGCCTCCTCGGAGCAGGATGGCGGCTGTCGGCCCCATGGATCTCCATTCTGTTCTCCGCACACCAGATGTGTCCCGCATACCCTCATTTCTCTTTTCTTCCAGAAAGGTTGAGGGCATGGGTCCTAGAGTCAGACTGCCCCGGTCCGAGTCCTAGCCCCTTCGCTGATTAGCTGTGTGACCTTGGGCACCTTCCTCAACTAAGCCTCAGTTGTTGATTCGTGAAATGGGGATAATAATAGCACATATTTATAAAAGACTCACTATCTGCAGATGAGGAACAAACGGAGGCGCAGAGCGTCTTAGTGAATTCATTTACGGCCATACAGCCAGGAAGTTGTAGAGCTGGGACTCGAGCCTCGGCTGCAGAGCTCGTGCTCCAAACTTCTACACTAAATTGTCTCTTAGGCATGAAGGGTGGCATGGGTTAGGAAACCATTAGGCTGGTGTCTAGGATATAGAGGTCAGTTATTATGAACAGGTACGTACTAAGCACATGCTATGTATGCTGCGTAGGCATGAAGTTCAAAGGGTGAATAGACATGGCTCTAATCTTTAGGTACTCAGAGTGTAAAACAGATAAGCCCTCCCCAATTATAATGAAATATTGGCGCAGAATGACTGAGATGTAGTATAGCTACAAGAGTAAAGGGAAAATCACAGAAGGCTTCCAGGAGGCAGTGTTTTATAATGATGCCCTTGGCTAAAAAAACCTAAATAATGTAAAAAATTTTTTCAAAAAACAAGAAAAACTGCCTCTTGGATGAAGTTTATAGTCCAAATGCCCCCCAACTTTTGAGCCTTTTAACTTCTGCTAGCCACCAGGCTGACATTTCCACTCTAGACCCCCTCTGTCAGTGTCAACGCCCCACTCCTGGCACAGTGGCCTCTCGTGCTTTGCACAGCCCTGCCTCCTTAACTTTGCTCACACATTCCTGCTCATCAGAACGTCCTCCCCTCTCCTGCTCATCCCTGGGCTTCCCCTCTTCCATGCAGCCTTCCTTGATCAAGCTCTATGATGTCTCTGAATTTAGAATCTGACCACCTGCCCAGTTGGCAGGACTCTAATGCACTTTTTAAAAAAATCTTCTTAGGACTCTATCTTTTTAGGGTATCCATAGGGCTCTGCTTTTTACTTCTTCGTATGAGATATCCCTGTATGCTCCAACTTTACTTTCTTACACAAAATAGGTCTATAAATACCTGCTGAGAAGCTAATCACACTTGCCCAGTGATCCAGGTTTTATTTTAAGCTTCTTAAGTAAATGTACTAAGAACTATGTGAAGGTTCTCTAGGTGTGGCTGATGCCCCTGGCATTCTGCTGGGATCCATTAGGTGATGTGAAGTGTTTTTTGTTTTTTTCTTTTTCTTTTTAAAGACACTTACTGTTTATTACCCAGCAGAGGTGCATGATGTCATGGAAAGGACATGACTGTTTGAGTTAGAAGAACTTGGCTCAGCATCACCCTGTACTAAGCTGTGCTGAGTGAACCACTTAACCTTTCTAAGCCTCAGTTTCTACCTTTGTAAATACTATCAGATATCAAAATTAAAGCATCCAGCAAATGAACACAGCAAGCTCACGAAGATGGCCGACGACCACACAATTTTTCAGAGTAGATTCTCAAGATACTTCTGCCCTTCATCCTGGGTCCTGGTCCCAGATCAAAGAAATACAGGGGTCAAGGAAAGAAAAGGAGGCGATTTTGTGAGATGTTTGGAGGAAGCCCTTGGAATGCTGTAACCTAGCCAGCCACCCTTTAATAGGACCACTTGAAAAGCTTGGGATGCACGCCCTGGACTGTAGGGGACACAGTGGACAGGAAAACCCAGAAGGCGGGAAATGCAGAGACTCAGCTGGCGAGCTCTGAGGAGGCAGAGTGAAGTCAGGACCTTGGGCAGTCACTGAGCGCCCCCACCCCGGTGACAGTGGCAGACTGAGGATGTGCAAGTGCTTTCTTGCACCAGATCCAGATGTGGACACCCCAGGAAGGAGAGCTGGCCTGGGAGCATCTTATGACCTGTCCAAGACAAACCCCTGGAGTTGGGTTCTATGTGGACAGAAGAGCTGGAAAATCAGGGCTGAGAGCAGGGAGCTGTAGGATGGGAGCTGGAGCCATGGCAGCTCAGCAGAGGGGTGTCCATGGGCCCACGAAGGACCCAGCCCCCTAAGAGGCAGAAGTGCTAGCCAGCTCAGAGAGCAGGAGGCTATCTTGTGACAAGTCCACTTCAAGTGCAAAAGGGTCTCTATGACCCTTCCTCTCTGCTTCCTCGAAGGTTTCAATAGCAATACTCGGGTGGGGGAAGGTAAGTGAGAGAAAGAGCAGAAGCACTCCTTGTGGCTCCAGGTGGGGAGTGTGCAGGAGGCCCAGGCTGAGGGATGGGGGAGATCTGAGCTTCGGTCAAGGTCAGAATTTTACTTCTGGTTTGGTGAACTGGACAATATAACTCTGAACGGAGACTGTGTTTGAGACTCAAAGGCCTTCATATTACTATCCAAGAGTGAGCTGATGAGCTATGCAGGTGCCGGAGACAGAGGCAACGGGCCCGGAGGAGACAAAATAGAGCAGTGTTTTGGTGCTGTCTGCCAATGTACGGGCGGGCATGAGAATGCTAAGGACCGCCGTTCCTAACTGCATGTTTTCATGACGGGCACACGAAGGGAGAGCCACAACCCTGCATGGCTCAGGATCAGGCTGATTGCACACATCTGGGGCAATTGCTGGTGTTACTTCTGGGGACATATTGATAACCTCCTGGTAACATGATCTTAAATAAAAAGAAAACTCTGGGTGTCGACTCTCAAATGATTCTGCTGAGTGTTCTCTCTGAAACCCTGGTGTCCTTCCAGGGAGTGGACAGGGGGTGCAGCAGTCTCTTTTTCAACTCAAGGGGTTCATGGGTCAAAAGAATTTGAGAACTGCCCCAGTGGGAGGCCTCAGGAGATGCGAGCACAATCATTAAATGTGACATTCCAAGCTGGTCTAATGAAGACAAGGGTGTTGTGAGGAGCTGGTTCCTGGTGAGAAGCCCTCTGGGGGCCCCTGCCCCCCTGGCACGCAGGGCCAGCCCTGCCTGAGCCATCAGCGGGGATTACAGCTCTGCCGCTCCCGCTTCCTGGACGGCGGTGGCGGGGAATGTTCGAATCTTCACTTGCCTCACTGCTTTCTATTCCTCGCCTCCTTCAATGGCTGCCTCAGATGGAACCATTGTCATGGAGCTGCTGGGGATAGAAAGGGGTGGAGGGGAACTTGGGGAAATGGAAGAGAAACAAAAGATTCTTTTCCTTTTTTTTTTAATAGGTGCTTAGGAAATTAATTAGAGCAAATAATCACCAAGTTGCCTGAGTCTCTATTTTATTTGGTGCATGCCAGGTCTGCTGGAAAAAAAAGGGGAATTTTAAATAATTTTGGAGTTATAACTGATGTAATTAGGTGCTCAGTGAACACTTAGCATCGAGCCTGTGCTTATTAAAATTACTGTTTTAATCAGAACATTGCTGGAGAATCATTAATAATACAATGGCTTGATTCCCTGGAACTCTAATTAGACCTGGACTTTTAACCACCTGAGCGTAATCTGGCTCCGTCTGGATGCGCACCATGGGTGATACATTATCATTTCAGGGCATGTGGGAATGGAGCATCAATACTGCTATTTAGCGATGGCCTGAATGCTTTATTTTGGAGTGTGAGAGTGTGTTGAGGAGGCTCGGGGGGCATTGATGCTGAAAGGTGGGGATGGAAGTGAAGGGGGCCAGCCAAGGGCTCGGGGTTGGAGGTCTTCAGGAAGGCAAGGCAGGAGATACTTCTCCTGCTGCTGGGCATGCCTTATCCATCGTTCTGCCGGGGAAACAGTCAAGCCATAATGTCACAGACCCAGCTAAGGGCCGTTTCCTGGGATGCTCCACCTTCACGGGGGGCCTGCCGGTCATCCAAACCAAACACAGGTCCAGACAGTGCAGCTTTAGTCCGCTGCAAAGCCACTGTCATCAGAAATCTAACCTATCACTCACTGAGTGATAACCAAAGGCTAATCTGGTGAAGGGCTGGGACCACTTCTTAAATTCCCTGTCCAGCACTTCGGATCACCCTAGAGAGACACCATGAGATGGGCTGAGCTTTTCTAGAACTTTCCAATCCTTACAGACCTTTCAGGGTTAACCTAGGTCCACAGCCTGGAGGGAGGCTGACTGGATGTGTTTGCTGTCTCCTGAGATGCTTGGCTGAGCTGGTTTTTGGGGAGTGGTGTCAATGCCCTGGCTCTGAGCACAGAGCTTTGGTTTCTCCTTCAGTGGGTGGCTCAGTTGTATCAACACTGACTTGGCCCCCACTGGGGGTGGAGTGCTCGGATGGATGTCACGGGGGTGCCCAAGAGCAAAGGAAATGGAAACACGCTCTCTGCCCTCCTAGAGCTTGCTAACTCATTGGAAGGAGATAACAAAGATGTGAAAACAAGATTTAGGATACTTAAAAGGCTGACGCTGAGAAGGAAAAATTAAGCTGGAGCGGGGCAAGGGCAAGCGGAGTTAAGTGGTGATCAGAACATGATGGGATTAATCAGAGAGGGGGTAAAGGCCTTCCAGAAGAGGACGTGAGGCCAGGAAGGGATGGCAGCCCTCTCTGTGCCCTCATTAAACATTTTTCTGGCTGCTACTGGAGGTCTTGAGACAACAGGATTGAACTCTCTCAGAAACTCCCATTCTGGGTCACCTCTAACCGTTACAGCACTTGTGTGCAATTGGAAAAAGGTGACCCTCTAGGTGCATGGTTGGTGAGATGGGTGAGGACTCTGTTTCAGCCCCTACTTGCGTCCTCAGCCAGACGCTCTGTTCAGTACACAACCTGAACCATCATATCTGGCGGCCCCGATGCCCAAAGTCTCTAGGGGAACAGAGAGTCGAAATGTGTGGTATGGGTCTCCTGGAGTCCAAGCCTAGCTGAGCCAAAGATAGAATATTTTTAAGGGCTAAACATTGTACCTCTTATAAGCCCTGTGTGTGGTGGGAGGGTCAGTGGGAGGCACAAAGAAAGCTGGAGTCCAGTGTGGGCTAAGGAGCAGGGAAGTCTCCATGGAAAGGGTGGGACTTGAAGGCAGGGTGAAAAGTCCTGGGCAGGAAAACATCACAAGCCAAAGCAGAGAGAATGAGCTTCGGGGTGTGTTATGGGGATAGCAAAGGACACAAGAAGGACATCCCCATTCAGATTTCTTTTCTTACTAGTTCCACCAGGAGTATACATTTTAAATAACATCGTTCTAGGCCTCCATCAAGGAACCATAGGCCAATGGAAGAAGTTTCCTATAAACCAACAATGCCGGGTGGGAGAGCTCCCCTCCCACTGCGGGGGAGCTCTAAGGAGAGGCTCAAGGTCCAGATGAGTGACAGGAGTCCCTCTGGCTTCCAAGACTGCCTCATGGACAGGCCCCTTCTCCCTTCCAGGATTCCCAATAACCCCTCCCCTTGGCAGGATTTCTACACACTGAAAGGGAAGGGGCAGGTGGTCCCTGTGCTTGGGAGCAAACGGCCGGACCTCAACTCAAGGATTCTTGTGCTTCTGAAAAAAGAATACCATCTCACACACACACACACACACCCCCCCCACAAACTCGTGTTCTTACGCAAACACACAAGGGAACACAAACACACGTCATACCACACACTCACCTTCCACAGCAACACCCTGACACCTCACACACACTGCACACACGTTAACGCTGACATTCCATACACACATTCCTGTCACACACACTCGTAACACACAGACGTTCCTACCACACTCACTGCCCCCCTCCACCCCTGCCCGCGTGCAACTGTGGGCAGGAAGAGCCATCAGGAGCTGTCTCCTTCGGGTTTGTCGTGAAGAAGGATTAGGGCTGCCCAAGATTAAACAGAGGAGTTAAAAATGACAAACAGACTTCTAAACAGGATTAGAGTCTTAATGAAAACCATAATGAATGGAAGAGCCACACAGATATCATCCATTAATGGCCATAAATATCAGACCAACAGATGAGATCTTAGATACTGCAGTTCTGAACCCCATCAAATTACTTTTATTGTAATTCATCAATAAATAACCAGGCCCAACTTCATATCTGAGGTCTTATCATGCTGCAAAGAATAGACTCTGAGGCCAGACAGACCTGGGCTTGAATTCTGGTTTCGCTCCTGACAAGCTTGGGCATGTTACTCTGCTTGTTTGATCGCAGTTTCTTCATCTATAAAATGCAGATAATTATCCCCCTAATAAGGATGTTGTGGAGATTAAATTAAGTCCTAGACAGCTCTAATAATAACTTATAATAATATAATTTATTATTACAGTTATGATTAATTTTCACTGTTATCTCTTGTCCCCTCCCCTTTTCAGCCTCCTGGGGTCAAGGAGAGCCAATTGGCTGGTGGGATCAGCAGAGAGAGAAGGATAAAGGAGAAGGGAGATAGAAGGAATAGGAAGAGTAGGAAACTGAGGCAGGAGCAGAGCAGGGAGAAGACAGGAAAAGGACAAGAAAATGAGAAGGAAGATGGCAGGCCTCTTGGATGCTACCCCTGCCATCATCTGGGGTGGGCTGCCCATGCCCGCCCGTCTGGGTGGTGGTTACCAGGGGAAGGTGAGGTTGTAGCCACACGATTATGGCCCCACCTTCCTACTACTTTTTTTTAAAATAACAGCTCTATCGTGATATAATTCACAAAATTATAATTCATAATTTCATAAACTTCACCCACTTGAGGTGTACCCTTCAATGGTTTTTAGTAGATTCACAGAATCGTACAACCATCACCACATCAATTTCAGAACAATTTCATCACCCCCCAAAAGAATCCCTGTACCCATTAGTAGTCACCCCCCCGCCCCCCTCTTCCAGCCCGGGACAACTGCCTCTGTTCCAGCTCTAGGCAACCAACTTTCTGTCTATATGCATTTGCCTATTCTGGACAATTCACATAAATAGAAGCATATGGAATGTGGTCTTTTGTGGCTGGCTTCTTTCACTAAGCATCATGTTTGCAAGGTTCATCTGTGTTGTAGCATATATTAGTGACTTCTTAAATTTCTTAACTCAAAGCCAAAAAGGTGAAGGAAGAGAGCTTCATATACCCACACCTAAGCAAGTGTCAAAGCGGCGACTGTCCAATAGTTCACCCCGCAAAGCTCACTGAATCCAGGTCAGTCCCAAAGTTATAGACTCAGAGGCCAGCCGGTTAGAGTCTTCATTCGTTTTTACCATTGGGGAAACCAAAGCGCAGGGAAAGGATACGTGTTTCGAGTGTGTGCGTTTTGCGCCCTCCATATGTTTCTCACGAACAAAGGAAAACAAAATAAGATCCAAATGTAAGAGTCTCTTGTCTATGGTTTTATGATTTAGATTTAATGTTAAGAGGCAAATGAGAGCCTCTTGGTATTCTGCCCATATGTCTCTCTCTTACCTCTTAAAAGTGACAATTCCCAACTCTATTTTTACAATGTAAAAGGATGACTCTCCTCTAATGGTTATCTGTCATAGTTTATGTTTAAAGTAATTTTATATGTTAAGACTGTAGCCTTAGGATGCAGGAAAGCGAGACCCCTGGGCCACAGGCAGTCCCTGAGGTAGGAGGGGCTTGTAATCTGGTTTGAGAAGGAGGAGGCTGGTCGTTGGACTCAGGAAACGTCAGTCACCTTTGTTCTGTCACTGAAGCGAGATGTGTCCCTTAGGGCAGCTATGCTGAGAGTTCCAGGAATGACAGGGCAGTATCTATTCGGTCCAGCTGACCCTAGAGACAGAGAATACTTAAAGACTAAGTTGTGTGTCCTGCTTCATGGCCCGTACTGCCACCTACCACCATTAGCCCATGGCCACTAGATGTTAGTCTAGGGCCACCGGTAAAGCAACTGGACTTCGTGCAAAATGGAACCAGACCTATCACTGACTGATAACTTATGCTTCAGGGAAGCCCAACGGAAGATGGTGATGTGAGTCCGTCTTTCTTCCCTACAAATCCCAGTACTGATTTAGCTTGAATCACAGGGAGAGGAGGTTGTCCACAGGCTGGCCAAGACAGAGCTACAAGCTAGTGTCCTTAGATGCCACGGACGGTGGCCATGCTAGAAGCCACAGCTGGAGAACCAGGGAAGGACTCCGCTAATGAGGAATGCCCTTGGAGTCCAGGTATGACTACTGGTCACTTCCTACCGGGGCTATTCAGTGATCAGTATCTCCAGTGAGCTCAGTGGGTACTGAGAGACTCACAGAACTCATTTTTAGAATTAAATCCATCTGAAATGGAACAATATTGATACCAAATGGTGTGTTGTGTAGGACCCTATTTCACGAAATAAAACGATACAATGTTGCCATTCTAAAAAGGTCAAGCATTGTTTATTAACAATGCCCAAAGAATCTCATTAAATCCGGGAGCGTGAGGACAGAACAAACTAATATCATACATGTGAAGTGATCTGCATACCAAGGAGGACCGCCCTGGGACCAGACTGGCAGTTTAAGTCTCCCGTGGCTACTGTTCAGAAGTCCCTGAGCTCCTCGGGGTGGGCGGGGGAGGGGGGGGATTGCTGTCCAGTGCTCAGCGTTGCTCTTCACTCCACCTACCACAGAGGAGGCACTGGGCAGATTTTCCCAGCCCGTGTTCCTTCCTCTATTGCAAATTACTTCTCGGTGCATGGCCAACAAACAGGGGACCCCAGGTGAGGGAAAGGGGATTCTGGAAAAAGCGAGGTGGCTAGAATTTTCTCCATTAATCTGGGCATGCTCCAATTTGTACTCTGAGCATAAATTTGCATGTTGCATTCCAGAGGCCCTAACTCTAAGAACATTAGGTAGAATAAAATAAATTCTTGTCATCCTCTGTGATCACAGTCAAACCCAGTAATTCTTAGCTTGGCCCACAGAGTAGGTCTGCCTGCCCGCTTTCCTCCGTGCTTTCCTATTAAAGGCATTTTCTCAAACACTGATTGAGTGTACGGTCGGTGCCAGGAGGGGCCAGGGTACCTCTGACCTGCATCCAGTCTCCCAGAAGCTTAGAGCCTGATGCGGGAGACCCCGGGTATTTACTGTCGTTTTTACCACGAAGTTAAAGAAGCTCAGAGAGCTGAATTCATTCTGACTGGAGTGAACTGGGATGGCTCGGAGTTCTGCTGGGGGCACAGGAGCAAGGACACAGGGACGTGGCAGCGAGCGGACACTCTTAGCTTTCTACAAATTCAAAATACCGGCATGGTTTTCGAGCCTTGAGTCTGCTTTTCCTTCATCTAGGGAGGCTGTTAATGAGAGAGAGAGCTCCTTGAGATGGGATGGCTGAAGGCTGAGCCCAGCAGGCCTCAGAGGCTTGGGAGAGGCCCGGGACTACAGACCACCGCGGGATGGGCCGGGTGGTGAGCGTGGCCAGGCCACGGCAGAGAGCCGGGTGCCAGCTTAGCCTGGCTTCCTGCAGAAATCTGCTGGGCCTCGGGAAGCAATCCTGAATCGAGTGGTGGCTTGGTTTTTTTCTGGCTCCTCTAGGAGCTTAGGCTTTTCCTGTGGTTCTGGAGATAGGATCGGTCATGGTCTATGTGGGCCGCCTTTCTTGGAGCAATCCGACTCCCTGCGAGCCGGTCTCTAGCGGTTAGTGAGCTAGAGCTGCCAGGGTGGGGCGGAGACGATGCAAGATCTTCTTAACAAGCTACTGTTTCTTCAGTGTTTGCTGTGTGTCACGTCCTGCGCTCAGTGTTCTGACGTCACCAGTTTAATCCCTGCCAACAACCCGATAAAGGAGAATCTATCATTACTGACAATTGATCTGAGAGGAAACTGAGGGCTTACATTCGGTAATTTGGCAAAGGTCAGTTTAGTAAGAGGTGGGGCCAGGATTCCAGAGGTGCTGAACGGAGCCTGCCCTTCCGCCCCTGCCGCTCGGCCCCCCACCAGCAAGCAGGTAACACAGAATGTGTTCAGAGGGCCTGGAATCCCCTTGCCTGCCCTGCCTTCCTGGGAAGCCACAAGCCCTGCTGACTTCCTCCTCTGCTACTCCCCTCCCCTCCCTACCTCCAGAGTGCTCCTGGAAGGAAGCTCATGACAAGGGATGCAGGCACACTGTGTCCTGGGCCCAGGGACAGGTGACCTTTCCAATTCAGCACCTTTATAAATCTTACCTAATGAAGTTAAGGGGAAAAAAGAATTAATGAATAAATGAAGGTTAAATCACTCCCTGCAGAAAATTGGTGCTGACAGCGGGGGCCAAGAAGAGAGCTTGGAAAGCAGGGAGCTGACTTGCACAAGAGGCTTTTAAAATTCCTTTCCCTGAAATTTGAGGGAGCTGTGCGGCCGGCCAGGCCCCGAGATGGGCCAGGAAGCCTCTGGGACGTCCAAGGCAGATGGCCTGAGGGCAATGGAGCAAGAAAGCCATACTCTACCTAGGGTAACTTTTTTGGGAAGCCAATTTGGGTGTTTTTGATATACAGACACGTGCGTGTGCACTGCCCCCCCCCCCCCCCCCCCCACTGTATGCATAGTTAACTCCTGCAGCTAAGCAAAGCATGGGCACTTTGGGTCTGCCTGGCTCATTCCTGGCCTCCCGGGGCCTCTGTGGAATGTCTTTTTGTCAGCACCCACTTGTTAGCCACGTTGGTCTCCTTGTCACCACCCTCAACGGCCACCCCCATATCCCCGAGGCTGCACACCTCAGCCCAATTGGCTCAGGGGATCACAGGTGACAGCACGGCTGGGCCAAGGGAGGAAGAGGAAGAAAAGCAGAAAGAGCCTCTGGCTAGAGCAGGCTGGGAGCCAGAAGAGGTGCAAGGAGGGGCGGGGTTTGGGGGAAGGGGATGGAAGAGGAGATGCACGGTAAAGCTCACAGGGTAAAATCTGGGTTGGGGCCTGGGAGAAACGTCCACTCTTCCAGGCAATGCTGCGACTCACTGAGTCTTGCCTGGGGTGGGTCACTGGCTCACCTAAACCGACCTCCTTTTGGCTCCTTGGTGAAATGGGACCGAAGAGGAGGCCCTACAGAAGAGGATCAAAGGCAAAAATCCTCCCTAGTGCCAGCACCGGGAAGATTCTCCTTCTTCCTCTTGTCTGTGCCCGCAGGTTTTTAAGAATCTGATCATGAAGACAGGGAGACTCCAGGGGACCGGCAGAGCGTGCCCACCCCGCGGTGGGATGAGGGGCACGGGAGGCAAGAAGCCTGCACTGGGCTGGTGGAGGGGTGGGAGTGTGGAGGGTGGGCTGGAGGTGGGGGGCGGGGAGGCAGAGAGACCTGGGCTGACTACATCAACCAGTAAATAAAAGGTCACGGTGATTTTTCCAGGCACCCAGGGAGAAGCCAGCAGAGAGCTGGGCGGATGACAGGAGCTGACAATTGGCAAATGAGGCTCTGCAGTTATCTGTTTCCCTGCCTTATTCTTGTCCCATAAGACAGAGGCTAGAAATAGATGCAACTGGCAGATGACTTAAGGATGAAAAATGAGCAACATGTTAGTTATGGGGGGCTCAGTGGCAGTGAACCAGGGAGCTCGGGAGTGAACCCGAGAGAAGGAGCTATTTCCAGGGTTTGGCTCCTGCTCTGTCCCAGCCACTTTGCAGGGCTCCGTCATTTCAGCTCAGCGATCTTAGAAGGCAGGTATTATGGTTTTCCCCACTTTACAGAAGAGAAAACTAAGGCTTAGAGAGGACAAGCCAGGCTCTGCTGAAGAATGGTAGAGCCAAGATTTGAACACAGGCCGATCTGCCCCCAAAGATGAGCTCCTTACACTATCCTACAGTGTCTCCTTTCCATGCGCTCTCTCTTTTCTTGTCTCCTGTCTTCCCCGCCCTCTCTTCCTAACTTTCAACAAGTGTTTATTAAGCCCCTAGTAAGGGCCAAACACTGCAGTATCTCTTAGGGAGACAGAAGGGGCCCAGAGAGGAAAGGTCTCTGCTACCAAGACATGTTGTTGGAAAGACCTAATGAATGAATGAAGCAGCGCGGTCTCTCTCTTTGTCTTTCCCTGAACCTGAGATGATCAGAGGTTTTCCTCCCCGTATAGAGAAGCGGCCGTCCTGAGTGGCAGTGTGGATTGGCATGATCACAAAGGGCTTTGGTGGTGGGCTGTGACCCGCCCTGCCATCCTTTCTCTTGAAGGTGCCTCTCAGATCCCTGGCGCGCAGGGTGCGGGGGGGGGGGGGGGGGAAGGGGGCAGCTGCTGTCAGCAAAGAGGAAACACTGGGAGCTTGGGGCACGATCGTTTTCTCCCAAGTTTTGTGAGGCAGTAGCAGGGGCTGAGGGAGCCTGAAGCACCTTCTCTTGGGTGGAGATGAGGGCAGGTGGATTAAGTCTACCTGAAGTCCTCTCGCTTCCTGTGAGCTATAGATGGTCTTCGAGGACTGATACCTCTTAACCCTTGCCTTCAACTCCAACAATATCAAATCTGGGGGACTATTCCCTGAATATGCTGAACTCTTTCATGCCTCTGTGCTTTCCTTCACTTGAGAAATACTCCTTTGCCTTCTGATCCACTTGGTGAGCTCCTCCCCTTTCATGAGTCACCTAGAGCAACACCTCCTCCAGGAAGCCTTCCTTGACTCACAGACTGTTGGGTAGCACCCTCTCCTGCATTCCCAGCGCTCTGCACACTGTATCACAATACTGTTTCCCTGGCGTATGTGTGATTTTGTCAGAACGGGCTCTATGCTCACAATAGGTCCTCAAAGGTTGGTTGATAAATTACTTGGAAGCTGAGTGGTTAACTAAGACATTGTTCTCAGCTCTGTTCATTTTTCTCTTTCCAATCTTCCTCTGGCCTGACTCTCATCTCTGCCCATTTCCCTCTTCTCATTAAACATTACTTGAGGGACAGAGGCTGAACCCAGACCGTTTGCTAAGCCCCCAACAGCTGATGACACAGCCAGTTCTCCCTCCACCTGGTGCAAATTTCAAACCCCAACCTGTCTGCAGAAGAGGGGGGTGGGAATAACCAGGAGGGGGAGTGAGGAGGGTTGCTCTGTGCAGAGTGGCAAAGGGAATTTAACTGTGGGGCACACACACTATGAACTGGGGATGGTGCCTGATGTGGGGTCCCAGAGCTGGGCAGGCTACGGAAAGATAAAAGGGCCAGCTTGGAAAGTGCAGCCAAGTGGGACTCCAAAAGCCAAGCAAGCCTGAGGAGAAGGAGCACAGCCCTGCTCTCCCCCCAGTGAGCACAGCCCTGACCCGTGGTCTGAAAGAGCCGTGTAGTGTGGATACCCTTCCGCACTCCTGGAACACACAGGAATGCCTGCTCTCATCTGACGCATGTCACGTACGCTGTTCTCATAAGCACACACACTCCCAGACCCAGGTCAGCCTCTGTCCTGCACAGGCTCATGGCCAGAAAGGAGGCGCTAAATGTCACGGCCGCAGGAGACATTCAAAGACATTTTCTCGGTAGGGAAACTGAGGCTCCAGTTGGCCTGTACTCAGACATACGGGGGAAACTCCAGGGATTAAGAACCCTAACTTACCACTCCCCTGTCACTCTCCTGTCACCCCCTGCCATCCCTCCACCACCCTTCCCACACACCTCCCTGGCAGCTCCCAGTTGGGTTCTAAACGTCCCTAGGACCAGCTCCCGAGAGACCCGTTGTCTGACGGGCAGCCATGTGTGGGTGGCTGGCCAGAGGAAGAGCCCCCTGTGTTTCGGTAGGCCAGCACAGCTGGTCACCTCTGGCTGAGGAGCGCAGAGGCCAGTGTGTGGAGAAAGCGACCCGTGGTCAGCTTCCCATCTCACGGGAACCCTGTGTTCATGGGACCTCTCCTGTGTAAAGGGCCTGAGCCCTGGGTACGAGCAGCCAGCGGGAGTGGGGCCCAGCTCCTCCCCCATCCTACACGGGCACCCAGAACCCAGGGCCACAGAGGAAGGAGCCTCATCGAGTGGGCCTAACAGGCAGCACCCACCTCCCGCCCTCTCCTGGGGTGGAACGTGGAGAATGGGCTGTGCACCTCAGAACGTCAGATCGTGCTCCTCGGAAAGGTTCGCTGACTTCCCCTCCCCGCCCTCCCCCTTCGCTGATGCTTGGTGCATCTCTTGGCACCTCCGACGCTGTATCTTCACATCACAGCAACTGTCCTGCTCATCAGTGGATGGAAATAACTCCTCACGACGGCTCCTCTGGTGTTGCCATCTTTTGTGTTGATCAAAACAACAAAACGAATCAGACTCGCGGCGTTTGATTGAAGCCTAATTGGAAATCCAAAGTGGCACTAAATGTTATGGTCTAAACAAAACACATTCAATTACAGAAACCCAACACGGGGAGCATGAAAGTGAGCTCCGGGCAGGAGCTAAAAAGCAGGCTGCAGAGTTCTGGGGCGTCACCGCGGGGCCGGATGAATCTCAAGACGACAAGCACAGAACCCAAGAGCCCAAGAACCCCCGCTTAGGGCAGTGAAGGCATGGATACCCGTTCGCCCGGTTCACATTGGAGCTGCACGGGAGAGGCTGAATTGGGGCCTGATGTGTTCTAGGCCTGCTCTCCTTGCAAAGAGGGCCGGCTGTGGATGCGGGTAGAGAGAGTGCAAGGGAGTCATGGTGTCACCCACTGGGCCTCCCTGGTGGTGGGGTGAAGGCAAGCAGGGCAGGAGCTTTGCAACCACACCGACCTGCACCTCCATCCCAGCCCTGCCTCCTAGGAGTGGTATGAAGGGCCTTGCTCAGTTCCCTTAACTTTGCGGAGCCTTCCTTGTGTGTCAAGTGGGGGTGATAAGGCTTGTTGTAAAGAGTCCAGATAATGTTTGTGAAGCCTGTGGCCTGCTGCACAGGCCAAACTGCAGCTGTACCCTCCTCAGGCAGGGCACTCTCTCTCCATCCACTCTGCGCACCAGAGCCATTTCCCGGGATGGTCCATGTAAGGCCCCCGGGCTGCGCTCGCTTTCCTTTGTTGGTTTTGAAAACAAAACAGCGCACTGCCCCAGTCTCCTTGGGGGTGTCAAACGAGGACTTGTGAGTCCGTGCTGGTCCCCTGAAGCCTTTAAAGCCGCTGCTAAACCTTTTCCTTAATTTGGGACCCGGTGGAGTGGGAGCAGGAGGGGAGGTGCCTTGTGCCCACACGCGGCAGCCAGGGGGCGCCGTCTCAAGAAGCGGGAGGTGTGGATTTGGCTTCAGAAGGGTGGGGTGGAGTCCTAGCTCTGTGGTTAGCCAGCTTGGTGGCTCTGGGCAAATGACTTAGCCAGACTTGAATTTCAGTTTTCCTATCTCTAAAAGAGGCGAGGACAATACTGCTTCTCCCATGGGATTGTTGGATTAGCTGAGGTCATGTTTGTAAACTAAAATAAGAAAAACAACCTGAATGTTAGTTAGATTTCAACACAAATAAAGTAGAGGTGAGAGGCAAGGCAGGGTGGTTAGTTTTCTTTTTTAGGTGTGGCTATACGCAGAGCATGATCTGCAGGGCTGGGCCTGGTGATTATGCATGGGACACAATCATAAAAATATAATTACGGCTACCACCATTTATTAAGCAGGTAATATAAGCCAGATACTTTTCAGAGTGCTTTTTATGTATTAATTGATTTAATTTAATCCTCAAGCAGATGCCATAATTATGCCCATTTTACAGATGAGGAAACTGAAGCACGCAGAGGTAAAGCAGCTTGCCCCAGGTCACACGGCAATAAGTACTGGAGCCAGGACTCAAACCTCAACAGGCAGGCAGAGTCTAGAGCCCATACTCTTCATGGGGTCAGGAAATTGCCCATCATCACCATCTGCTTCCTCCCGTTCTGGTTTGGTAGACCTTCCCTTCTCAAGAGTCACTTCCCCCTCTGGTCTCCTGTCCTCAAAGAAAAGGCCGCTCTTGACTCGATAATCCCTGAGGTCTAACCAGCTCTGAACTGCTGTGTCAAAGAGAGAATGAGTCCTCTGTCGGAGTGACCCCAAGAAGAGAAAGACACGGACAGGCCTCTCTCTCCCTGGCTAGTAAGCACACTGTGTGTCTCTGCTACAGCACGGCTCACTTTATATTGTAATTCATCTACACGTCATTCTTCCCCACCAGAATGAGACCTCCCTGAGGGCAGGGATTCTATTTTATTTATTGAACACAAAAGCATACTTAACAGTGCTACCATTGCACTGAAAAGAGCAGAAAGAAATCAAGAAGGTACCTATCTTCAGACAGCCCTGTTTATAACAGTTTGCTGGAATATTACTTAGAAAGACTGCCCTATCTATATCTGCATATGCAAATGACTTGTCAGCGGACAGCTCTATGCATTATACATGGTAGACACTTAACGGTCTGTTGAGTGAATGAGTCTATGTATGCAAATGGTATGCAAATCTTTCCCTATTTTAATTTGACCCTCGGGAACATCTTCAGTGACTCTCTTGGGCCCAGGTTGTTTTTTAATTTTTTTTTTTAATTGAAAGTCTTTAAAGACAACCAGTTTTCTTTCTTGCCTGTGCCGAGGGAAGCTGTTGTCAAGTTGGGAAAAGAATGCTGGGCTGGACCAGGTTAATTAGGATTAATTCTGCTTCTCCTGGTCATTCAGGGGAAGACATCAGCAAGGGACTCCCGTCTCTGGGCATCAGTCTCCTCACCTTTAAGAACAAGGGAGTGGGTTTCCTGCTGGCATCGAGACACTATGATTTCCCATCTCTCAGTCACAGGAACATCATCCTGGGCAGGCAGAATGTCAGTGTTCAGCACTACCTGCCTAGAAAGAGAAATCAAATCCCTTGCCAAGGATTAGAGAAAGTCTCCAGCCCCCCTGCCCATTTAGAGAAATGAGTTTTTTCGGCACTAGTTCTCCCAGCCTGGGCATTGTGTTCAATCATTTCTTTCCAAACCAAAGGATTTTAAAATAAGAGGCTGGAGTTTTCTCTCTTAAATACAACAAGCCAAGCGTCTGATTAATAGGGTGGGTTTGCATTTCCTTTCTCTCATGTGAAAATATTTATTAGAAAAATGTTCCAATGAGAATATTAATAGCCAGGGTATCAGCTCTGTGTCAGCCTCTTTGTTCCTTGACATTTGAAATGGGGGGCGGGGAGGGGGAGAGAGAAGGAAAATCAAAACCCAGGCTTGCGGTGGTCACCTTTCCCCGGGCCCCCTCCCTCAAGAGGCAGGATTCTGCCCTTCCTTTGGGAAAGGCACTGAAAGGAGCAGCTTAGCTCCTGGGCCACACTGGGGTCCCCGGTCTTTAACCAGAAACACATGTGCATCAAAGGCTTGGATTGCAAGTGACACATTTGAAAACAAAAGTGCAGCCGAAATTCTCTTATCCTCACTTTCCTAATCCGCAAACTCTGTAATTCTCCCCAAAGCCCCTCAGACTCTGCTACAGTCCAAGCCTGCTCACATCCTCTCCTCCCTCCACAGCTCAGCCCAGGTCTCCCGCCCCCCCGCCCCCCCGGCAGAGGGAGGGCTCCCGTTACTGAGACCCCGAGTGCCTTGTAAAAATACACCTTGGCACGCTCTGCCTGCGCCCTGGGAAGCCTTATCGCCTGGACTAAACAAATGTGCACAATCAAAATAATAGTCTGAGTTGTCAAAATAAATGAGTAGGGAACATCTGGAAGTGTGGCTCCCCACATTCTTTCCTTCCCTTCCTCAAACCTTTAGATGCCTTAGGGGTCTGGCAGCTCAGTGGCTCCGGCCACTTGGACTAGTCCGAGGCCACTCGGACTACTTCCGAGTCACAATAGGCCCTTTGAAAATGCTTATATTTGGTGCTAGGTCCAGGTTTGCAGTAGGTAGGCCCTCCCCCAAACCAAGGAAATCCAAATTAGTTCTCTGCTTAGCCGAATGGACACTCCGGATGGCACTCTGGAGGGGCGTGGCCCGTCCGCCCCACCCAGCACACCCCTTCAACCAAGGCCCCTTCAACTGAGGGCCAGGGAAGGGTTCTCTCCTGCCCATGAGCCCCTCAGAGAAGGATGGCTTCACAGTCTTCCCAAATGATTTTTGTTTCTGTTAACTCCAGGCCAAAGTTTTTCTTGCTCCAACTCTCTTGAATTACTAAGGCGGGGGTAGTTAAAAAGTCAGTTTCCTGTATATATCCACGGGAGAAGTCACCACGGCCCTGCAGAGCCAAGGTGGGGCACCCCGGAGGCCTGCCTTCCGAGGGGGCTTATGTAATATTGCTGCAGAGACACTGCCCGGGAGAACCCTTTGAAATTGTGTGTGCCACTGTCCGGGCAGTTTCCTGGCAGTGTGATCCTGCTCCTGATGGATTCCCTCAAAGGCTTGCACGAAGCACTTTCCGAGCCCACATTTAATGTGGGCTTCGTTTAGGACCTAACGCAACCTTTAGCAAATCAACAGTAGGCTTTAGAGCTCCTGGCACTTCCCTGTGAGTTTTGGGAAATCAAGCCAGTTCTGATGACTCTGGACTGGGGTGTTGTGCATGGCCTGACACTGAAGGGGCAGCTAACCTGTTCAGATGCCTGCTGGGCCTCCCTGTTCTCATGTGGGGACAGGATGGGTGATCCCTAAGTTCTTAGCAGCTCTGACCCTAGGGGTCCGGAAACCACGTATGTATCTTCCCTGAGCCTTGTCTCTCGAAGTGTGCTCATGGGCCACCGAATCAGAATCACCTAAGGTGACTGGCTGTGGAGAGGTGAAGGGGCAGGGAGGAGAGACAGCGATGTGGCTTCTAAGGCTGTGTCATAAAAAAGGCAATAATTCTATCTTATTTGTGGGAAGGCTCACTCTCTGAGTCCTGAGCTGCCATGATCTGCCATGCTCAAGAAGTCTGACTCTCGGGGCCACCATGCTGTGAGGAAAGCTCATGCCCCATGGAGAGGCCTTGTCTGAGGCACTCTGGTCAACAGTCGCAGCTGAGCCCAGCCTTTTGGTTCCCAGACAGGAGAAGCTTCCAGATGATTCTAGTCCCTAGAATTCTAAACACCACAAGTCATTTGTGTAGTAGAGAAGAGACAAGCCCTCTTCAATGTACCACGTCTGTGTCCCTGACTTCCATAGTTTGTGAACGTAATAAAAAGTTTGTTTTATATCCCAGAACTCTGAAGTGGTTTTTTATGTAGCAATAAGTGACCAGAATGGTGAGCCAGCTACAGACAAACACAAGGTCATTTGGAACTGGGGTCTGACTGCCCACTACTTGGAGAACGGCAGCCCCATCTTTTGAGACCTGGTTACCTTACCCATAGAGACCAAAAATGAAAAGCCCCATGGGTAGCCCCTTTCTGGCCATGTGTCCACACATGCATCCAGA